ACCTTCCTTATTTATAATATTTGGAACAAAGTGATTTAACAGCCACTCTTCAAATATTTGAATTTCCATCCAGCCACTGCAAGAAGTTGCCATTCTTGATCCTTCTGGTGCATTGAAAAGCCAGTCAGACCAACTGTGTTTTCCTTTAAAAATGAAAAATGGTGGAATTAGTTTTCCTGAGGCATTTTCACAAAAAACAACAGTGTAACAAGTTTTTGTTGTGTTTCTTATAAGTTCTGGATGGCGAGAGGATCGACGAAAAATAAGTTTTTTTTTTCCAGGGTCATCATGAAACCCTGTTTCATCCATATTGTAAATGTTATCTGGCGTTACTCCATTTAATTCCTTCTCTAGATTTTGAAAAAATAATTTTATTTGACAATATTTAATCTGTGCACGTTTCCTTGAAATACAATGAGATACTTTTTCTTTTAATGATGGATGCCTGTCAAGATAAAGTTTACACCACTCCCAACCTGGTCGGTTATCTTTAAACTGTTGTATATTTTTTCCACTATCATCCAAATAGATTTTGACAATACTTTTAAAATCATTAATTCCAATTGGTATACCTTTGTCACTTAAATAAAGTAAGTGATTTTCAAAACAAAGTTCTTCATCAATGCTAAGGGCAATAGGGCGCCCTACTGATTTACAGTGTTTATTTTTTAGCTTATAAAATAATGTTGCTTTAGGTACTTTATAAATTTTAGAAGCTTCACCAATCGACATTTTTTCTAATTTAATTTTGGCTAAAGCCTCTTGAAGTGTAGAATTGGTGTAATTAGATTTAGTGCCATATATTCTAGTGCCAGAATGACTTGTCGAACATTTTCTTGGCATTTTATGAATGCTAAAAATATAAAGATGATTTATGTTATTAATGAAAATTATTTAATTAATCGCATATTTGCTATTAATAAAATATATTATTAAATCTATCAAGATAGCCATAAATATCAAAAATTAATATATTAGTAATATATGTTATAATTTTTAATATTTATAATATCATATATCATTATATAATAAAAATACTATAATAAAAAGATGCCTATTATTTATTATGTATTATTGCAATGTTACTCAGACAACAAAAAAAGCATTTTTGGAAAATATTGATTGTCTAAAGTTACCCTGAATTTGGTTATATTTTAGCTAAGTGGAAATAAATATCCTTTTTGTAGCAAAAAACATGTTAAATCCTAATATTTTGAGTTTGTATTAAAGTTCGAAAAATAATTCAATAAAATACTTAAAAATCTATTCAGATAATTACAATATAATACCAAATATTCTAAATTGAAAACACACGATGTTATCACCACATTAGACTGTGTAACTGGAAATGGAGGAAAACATTATTTTTGAGAAATAAAATTTAATTTTCTTTGGTCAAACTTTTGTAAAAAAAGATAATTCATCATATTATTCTTTGTTAAAGCAACAGGCAAAGAAAATACCAAAGAAAAAAAAATTTAAAAACATTTACACGTTTAGTTCAATGTTACCCGCAAATTCAAAGTTACCCAGAATGACTGTACTAGGCGGAGTTTTATTCGCCAAGTTCGGACCAACCTCGAGAAAAAATGAGTTTAGTTTTTTCAGCTATTTTTTTTTATCATCAATCATTTTCCCGTCAATTAAAAGCTTTTTATTTTTAATAATTATTTGTTTAATTATATTCCACGTTTTTTTAGTGTCGCCGTTGGTTTTTTCCAACAACTTTGCATAATAAAATTTTTTGGAGTGTTTTTTTGTTTTTTCAAATAAGTTTTTATAGTTTTTGAATTTTATTTCATTTTTATATGTTTTAGGCCTTAAAAACTTTTCATAAAGTTTTTGTTTTTTCTTTGATGATTTTATAAGTCCCTTGGTTATCAGGGATTAAAAAAAGACTTAGATTTTATAATTATTTTTTTGACAGGAAAGCTGTCATACTGTTTACAGAATTGCGATAATAGCAGTTCATATGCATGATTGACTTTATGGAATTGTAAAATAAGATTTAAATTGATGTATTCTGATAAAAGAGTTCGAAAATACAAAATGGAGTTTTCATTGTTATGTCGCGTTAAAATTGAGTCCGAGGGGGGATTATTTAGAGTTATGTTAGCGGTAATTAGAAATATTGGTAAGTGATCTGTTAAATCAGTTTTGATTATGCCCGTTCCTAAACGGCAGTTTTAAAAATATTTGTAATTATATTATCAAGTAATGACGATGAGGTCTTTGTTATTCTCGTTGACTTATTTATTGTTGGTATAAGGTTATATTCAATAAGAGATCTAAAAAAATATTGAACATTTTTATTTGAAGCATAATTTAGTAAATTTAAGTTAAGATGACCAGCTAAGTATATATGTTTCCGTGTTATACTAGTTTCGGTTAAAAAACTAAAAAAGTAAAACAAGGTTGTAGTATATATAAATATCTTACAGAGATAATATTTTACTTGTTTTTGTAGCTCAATTTCGAATGAGCAACTTATCATAAGAGATGCTTGCGTATTTTCCAGCCGCTCGTTCAACTAACAAAAATCTTCATTAATATATATATATTTTTTTACTATTTAATTGAGATGTTTTTTTACGAATTTCAACTTTATCTTAATAATCTAACAGTTTTAATACAGTTGTTCTTGGTTTGCTCAAATCTCTCTGACCAGTTCTATGAGCTCTTTCAATCCTTATATTTTTAGCCCTAAATGCTCTTCAAAAACTTCATTTCATCTTCATTTTCTTTTAACCCGTCGACCCTTAAATTGTTTCTGCGTGATATATCCTCCATCTCTGTTAGTTTACTTTTTTTTTATTTTAACATAGTCGGAATTATGATTTCGCTTATCGATGCTAGATATTCGTTTTTTTTCCTGACAAGTAATAGCGGCTTTAATTTTTTCTTCAAAAAGATCCCAGTCCCAGATTTAGTTGTAAATGCGCATTGGAAACTTGTTTATATGCGCATTGTTTTGGTGCGTATGTTAGCCATTTTCTCGTGTCAAACACGCATTTTAAATACGCAGCAGATGCGTATAAAAACAAGTATACTATACGACGCTTAGTGAGTATCAAACTCGCATTTAGAACTCTTGTAAACACGTATAAAATAAGGTAAACTTATATTCAATACGATGTTTTCCTGGTATTAAACGCGCGTTTAAAACTCAAAAACACGTGTTATTTGCGAATATTTGTTAGCCATTTTATCGCGTCGAACACGCATTTAAAATATTTATTTACGCATTTAAGAGTTGAGTTTAGTGTTTATTAGAATCAACACTCAACTTAATACTAAATTCTTTTATTCAATTTTAATTATTATGTTTTGTCAGTTATCACAAAGTTTAAAATGCGAAAATTTATAAGGCAGAATTTAAAAATTCCTTCCAATCAATTTTAATTAATATGTTTTATCAATTATACACTATTTATATAAAAAAATATATATATATTTAAAGTATGCACTATATTTGTATTTTTATTCGAACTATAACAAAAATAACTTATTTAGTTATAGAAATTAAAAACAATAAATTAGTGAAATGTGTATCAATTAATAGGATTAAATAAATTTACAACTATAAAAAAAAATAAAGTTTAAAACTTATGAAGAATAGTTATTGATACTATTACGAAGATACAGCAACTCAAAGTATCTATATCATGCAAAACTTTCTTTTGAAGCTCTTTTCGGCGCATTCTTCAACCATTTGGACATAATTTTCTGCAATTCTTTAACAGACACACTCTATGTTTTGCTGACAACATCAACAAGAATTTGAAAAATGTTTGGTAGTTCTCTGCGCAAAGACACGCGATCGCAGTATTCTTTATTTGGAATATGGTTTCCATACAAAACATTAACTTTTGTTTGAATGTTAACTGACATTACAGTGTTTATTGCACCATTTATATGTTGACGTGCATTGCTACATGTTAGGCCAACGACTTCTAATACCTTCTTCATTTTACTCTTATATAAGGCGTCAAAAATTAATTTTGAACTAATTTCTTTAAGCTGGTCAATTGCTTTGATAATCTCATTAATTCCATCTTCATTGTCCTTATTTGATATGAACTCTAAAATCCTTTTTTGACTTTTTTCAATGTTTTTTAAACGTTCTTTGTGATCATTTAAATGCATAAAAAGTTTATGCTGAAAATCAGCATTTCCGAGTAGATAGCACTCATTTGCTGCTGATTTCGGACGACCAACTTTTGCATTGGTTTTGATTGTTTTTGTAACAATTTGAGAGTGGTTGCCAGAAGTTGTTGCAATTTCTTCCGTATCATTTTCAATGATTTCATTTTCCGTATCATCTCGTTTTTTTTTAAAAAGAGGTTTTATTGTCTCTTCGTCTGCACTGTCTTTTTTTTGATAACTCCTTCTTGAAGTTTTAGTTTTTACCAAAAGATCTAAAATAAATAAAACTTAAAATCAAAACATTTTACAACTATAAATAAATAGTCTGAGGTTAGTCTTGCTCAGACTATTTATTTATAGTTGTAAAAAACAAAAGCTCTCTCCCTGTTTATTAATTTTGAACGTTTTTAGAACCAAACTAAAGTTTATTTGGACGCAATTTTAATTTTTTTAATAATCACTTTTTAACACCATAAACAAACACTTAAAATTAAATTGTTCTAGTTTCTGAATAGTTCTTTATTTACTTAACAAAATTATAAAAACAGTTTTTAGAAAAATATTGAGCCTCGTTTGTAAGCGTTCAGAAGGAACGCTTACAAACGAGGCTTAATATAGTATTTAATTAAATTATATTATTTTTTTAATAACTAATTCCCAACCCTTCAACTCGTGTTCGCACCACCCTGTTTATCAATATAATCTAAGTCCTATCGTGAACTTTATCCTAACCGTGATTTGAATCAATATCAATCAACCAATATAATTTAAAACAAGGTTGCTTATGAGTAACTCATAGTTGCAAATGTTAAAATAATTAAAATATATATACACCCACCTTGAGTAATACTGTACACTTTTTCACTGGCAATATGTGGTATAGAAGTGAAATCCACAACTGATAAGTCTTTCGCCTTTACACTCGGTTTAATAATATCGAAGACATTTTAATTGGTCTTTTCTGCACACTTTTAAATTCTGCAAAATAAAAAAACAGTTAAATTTTTTGAATGTCTGCATTTAAGAATATAATAATATATAAAATGCTAACCAAAAACCGGATAATCTAGCAGACTTCCATCATCTTCTTCGTGTTCTGTAAATATGTATTATATATGTTCCATAAAAAATTATTATAAAAGTAATGTAGACATACTTTAGAATAACTAACAAAAAAAAAAAAACCTTAATTTTGTTGCTCCATGCCACAAATCAGCGGAATTTTTGCATTAACATCAGACAAATCACCTATATGAAAAATAACATGATAAAATATAGTCAGTAATACCCTGAAATGCCAAAACACAGTATCTTGGAAAATAATAATTTGACAGAAATCAACAAAGAAGTGTTTTACAATATCTCTCTGAAATTGATCAGAGAAACATGGAAAATTACTTGAAATATATGAAAATTACTTGAAATATATGAAAATTACTTGAAATATATGAAAATATATATAAAAATTTTAACCATATTTAAAAACAGTTAACTTTTCATGTTGAAATTTTGATATGTATAATAAATTTATAATAATTTTATATATATAACAAATTTATAATAATTTTATATATATAATAAATTTATAATAACGTAAAGAAAAAATAATATTGTAATTTAATGTGTTTAGCATTTCACAATGTTAAACACAGAGAATGTTACTGACTTCATATAATATTATTTTTTCTTTACACTTTTAAATTAATTATTACAATTAATTTCAAGTTGTAATAGTTTTATCAAAAATTATTGATCAAAGTATCACAACCTTTAATATATATATGAATATAATATAATCATAAAGCTTAAAAATACTAACAGATACATTTTTTGCCTACCTGATACTAACCTTAATATGTAATGTAAGGTTTAATACAATATTTGTTTTAAATAAATAAGGTTTTTAATAGACAATTCTTTTAACATTAATTATAAACAACAAACTTACACAAAAAATGTTGGGTAAGATTTTTTTTTTAGAACCTGTGATTTCTGAATCATCTTGAGGCAAATCATCTTCAGTTGAAATACCAGCTTTCATAACCTGGACAAGTTCATCAAAACAACCTAGAACAGATTTATGAAACCTAATAATATTTTTTAAGCCTTCAACAAATTAAAGAAACAAAAATAAAATGTTAACATACAATCCAGTTTATTGAAATCATGAAATAAATATACAAACAACTTACTACTAATACGCTTGACTTTAACAAGCTTAAATGAGTACCATGAAGGATTTGGCTGTGTAGACTTGGCAATCATCACCCTTAGTGGATCAACAAGTTTTGATGGATATCTAACAACTTCATTGGCTTCATCCACCCAACAAAAAGAAATAACATCTTCTATTTCTGTTTCCTTCTCAATCCACACAGCTAAACAGTACAATTTCTAAGAAATAAATAGTGATAAATGTCCATATATTGGTTGATAATGCCAGAATTTTGAAATAATGATAAATTAGGAATTACAGATACCTGGACAGTAATTGATTTATGACTTCTCAATGCAGCGTGAAACATTCTTCTTCGCTTGATAATTATAAAAAAAATTGATAAATTCATTTGAGTAATTCCATTTTTATCAATAATAACATTAATTTAATTAAATAAGTATAAAAGATATAAAGAAACATTAACAAATAAAAGAATTATAGGATATAAATTGTTCTGAGTTTAAAAAATAAATTATCCAATAAATTTAAAAAAACTTACAAATTTTCAGATGTCTTTACTAATAGATTAAAAATAGAATAAAATGCCCTTTTTATACCAATCAAAAATAAGGAAGTCAGACATATTGACTTTCTGTTGCTATAGCAAAAGTATTAAAACATAAACAAAAAAAATTCAAGACTGGCTCATTTTAATTAACATGCATTTACTATGAGCCATTAGTCTGGGAAAATTGCCAAAAATTAAAAAAGTCAGACATGATTTTTATTAAATAATGCATTAAAAATTTAAACATAAAATAAAATTTTATAAATGTTTTTAAAATTAAAAAACTCTTTATTGAAATGAGTATTTTTTGTTTTCTATAAGTAAATATTATTTTGAAACATTTACATCATTTTAGTTTTAAATTATTATTAATTGATAAGTATCTATTTATCTCTTTATTTAATTTATTTGTTGCCCATTTATCTTTAATAATAGTTACATATACGCATGGATTGTTTAAATTAGTTAATTACAATTGCATTATATCTATGGAATTTATTAAACTAGAGAAATTAAAGAACAATAAATACAATCAAATTTATGCCAAACTTTATCTCCAAATTGCAAATTCTAAATGACAAATAAATTTAGATCATTAATATTGCAAAATGTCAATTATAATTTAAAATGTTTATAAGAATCTAATTCTTGATATTAATAAGAAATTTCACAAATGATTTCAAGAGCAATCTAGAATAGTTACTTCAAGGTAAAAAAAAGGACAAACCAAGATAAAAAAAAATTGAAAAAACATTTATAAAATAATTTTCTTTATAACTATTATTTTTTTAATATACATAACTTTTAATTTCTTTAATAGAATTAAAAAGAAAGGAATTGAAAATAAAGATATATTTAAAAAAATAAAACATAAATAATCAACAAATAAGTAAATAAAATCAAATATATATCATTTACAGCTATTTATAATAACATATTATGAAATTTAATTGACTTCATGTAACATAGGAAAGAATGCCAATTCTCCAAGAGCGTTATTCATGACGTAAAGTTTATGTAAAAAATCACTTCTTTTTAGCACTATCAACTTCCATTTTGCTTTATTAAATTTTGAATATTTCATAATTCCCCATGCAGTACTGTTTAATGGGGTCACAAAAAGAGGTTGCAAATGATGCTTGCTTATAACTTTACAAGAATATTTTTGTTCTCCTTCTTCAAGTAGTTTTTCCATTACTTCACAATACATTCCATTTTTGCTTAAAAAATATTTACTCCTTTTAAAATTTGAAATTTTACCAATAGCACATTTAATAAAATATCCTGAAGGGTTTGAAAGAATAGAGCGCTCTTTAAATCGTTTAGCTATTGATACAAGTGGATTACATTTTGCATTTCTTGCTGTTCTTTTTAAATACTGCAAGTAGTTTTCAAATTTAAATGCAGATATATCATTTATGGAGCAATTATAATATTTGACATCATCAACAATATGAAGCAAATTATGAACGTTAAAAGTTACAAAAGATTTACCACAAATCTTACGTGAATTATGAATAGAAGTGGCAAAAAGTTGCTTAGGAAATAGTAATAATTCATTTCTGTCATTATTGTTCTCTATATGTAAAATCCTTACAGCTACAGCAAATGAAACAAACAAACTATAAACTTCCTTGTCCAAAATTTTCTCTAAAACAATAATTCCTGTATATAAAGTAAATTGACAAAATTCTGTTGCCTTCCAGCGTTCTAGGTCAGAAAGACCTCTTGGACGTCTAGCAAAATTGGAAGGAGTGGACTGGGCTATTTCTAACATTCGATTTGAAATCAGTTGTTGCTGACCAAAGCTAATATGAATTTTTGATTTGAACTTCAAACAAAATAGAAACCGACGACACACCCCTAGAAATAAATTATGCATAAGTTCTATGACAAAAGAATGTATCATATTTAAGTTATTTATAAGCAAGCATGGGCTGTTCCCTTTCTTATGTAATGGATAAGCATTCAACCTAAATTCGACATCGGTTCTCAAGTTTGCGTTATCGTTTGTATAAACAATTCTTTTATCGTAATACTCTGCCACAGAAGTGCACTTTTCACACCCATTTTTTAATGTGTGACCATAGCAACATCTAACAAATGCACGTGCTGGAGCATCACAAATAAAACAACGCAAATTAAATTTATATTGCTTTTCATTAATTTTTAACCCAATAATTATTAGATTATTAACTTCTGCAACAAAATCATGTAAATAATCATGTACATTTGATGGCTTTGCATTTCCACTATATATAGCCACTGGAAATAGACAAGATTTTATATTGATAACTGAACAAAGAATTGGCCACAACTGTATATTGCTGGAGCGCTGAATAGGGAGTCCATCAATGTTTACATCAACAGTTATAAAATTAATGTCCACTTCAACTGTATTGTTAGCAAATATATCCTCTATTCCTTTCTTCAAACCTAGGTAAATGTAACTGCCATTACACTTGCTCAATACATCAATAGAACGTGGCGTTCTAGTTAATGTTCTGGCATCTTTTGGTATGTCAGATTTTTCAAATTTTCCAGACTCTCTTAGAATTTGTAGAATATCGTTTATAGCATCTCTTGTTAAATTGTGCTTTACAGCAACTTTTGCAAGTTCTTCACAAATTAAATACACTGGTTTTGGTTCAGAATTGTTATCACTGAATTCAAAATCACTAGAAAAATCATCCATACTTGATACATCATATTGACAATTATTTTTGTCTTCTGATACATATCCACTATTACACTGTATGGAGCAATTTTGACATACCAAAAGATGCCAGAACATTATTTGTATACTGTATGGAGCAAATATTTATGGAGCAATTATAATATTTGACATCATCAACAATATGAAGCAAATTATGGACGTTAAAGTTACAAAAGATTTACCACAAATCTTACGTGAATTATGAATAAAAGTGGCAAAAAGTTGCTTAGAAAATGGTAATAATTCATTTCTGTCATTATTGTTCTCTATATGTAAAATCCTTACAGCTACAGCAAATGAAACAAACAAACAATAAACTTCCTTGTCCAAAATTTTCTCTAAAACAATAATTCATGTATATAAAGTAAATTGACGAAATTCTGTTGCCTTCCAGCGTTCTAGGTCAGAAAGACCTCTTGGACGTCTAGCAAAATCGGAAGGAGTGGACTGGGCTATTTCTAACATTCGATTTGAAATCAGTTGTTGCTGAATTTTTGATTTGAACTTCAAAAAAAATAGAAACCGACGACAAACCCCTAGAAATAAATTATGCATAGGTTCTATGACAAAAGAATATTATCATATTTAAGTTATTTATAAGCAAGCATGGGCTGTTCAAATGCTCCATACAAATTTGACATACCAAAAGATGCCAGAACATTAAAGTTACATGAAGAGATATCGTTCATCTAAAGAATCCACATTATGTGAGAATGTATATATTCCCAGTACAACTGTTTGCACTGAAATGTCGTCAAACTCATTAGTTGATACATCTGAAGATATATTGCTACCGGAAAACAAAAGTTTTGATTTAGAAGAATTACCGGTTTTTACATCCATTTAAAACAATCATGACAACCATTTAAAACAACTATGACATACCGCGACAATCAATTAAAACAATGTGATTTTCAATTCAAACAATCGTGACTTTCAAATAAAACATTTAACGCATGCGCAACCTCAACATTCTAATTTATTTTAAAAAAAAGGTTTTATTTATATACTTATTTATTTAAATTTATTTTTTATTAATATCATATTAATTTATTTTAATTTGATTTATTTATTTTAGTATTAAATGGATGACATACTTGTTTTAAATGGATGAAAAGCCCGGTCAGGCGTACACACATGTATACATATTTATTAAGCTTCAATTATTCCATGCCGTTTAGGTACACATTTTTACATGGCCTTATCTTATTGGTAAAACAACCATAACGTTCATTTAAAACACCCACGATAATCAACACCTTTTTATTATATAATATTTATTTTGTCTGAGTCAGTAACTGCGCGTTTAGGTACTTTGGGTAAGGCGTTCTCTTCATACTCGAAAGGCCGTGGTTTGAATATCCGTTTGGACAATTTTACTTCTTTTTCTTTAATATCTCGTTGCTCGTATGTTTTGCTGTGACGCCATTCCTCTATATAGAATAGATATCTCTCAACATCAAACCTCTCAGTGTATTTTCTAAGTAAGGCGTACACACGTTTACCGGGTTTTGCATCCATTTAAATATGTCATCCGTTTAATATTAAAATAAATTGCATTAAATTAAAATAAATTAATATGATATCAATAAAAAATAAATTTAAATAAATAAGTATATAAATAAAGCCTTTTTTAAAAAAATAATATAGATTGCGCATGCGTTAAATGTTTTAATTGAAAGTCACGATTGTTTTAGTTGAAAATCACATTGTTTTAATTGATTGTCGCGGTGTTTTAAATGAATGTCATGGTTGTTTTAAATGGTTGTCATGATTGTTTTAAATGGATGTAAAAACCGGTAATTCTTCTAAATCATCGCGACTTTTGTTTTCCGGTAGCAATATATCTTCAGATGTATCAACTAATGAGCTTGACGACATTTCAGTGCAAACTGTTGTACTGGGAATATATACATTCTCACATAATGTGGATTCTTTAACTGAGCGATATCTCTTCATGTAACTTTTCATGTATACTTTACGATTCCTTTTCATTTCAGAACTTAATACAGATATACTAGATTTTAATTTTAGATTTTAAACTTTATATCTTTACATACTTTATACCTTTATCTTTATCATACTATAATAGATTTATCAATTTTTGGTTAGCCCTAGATAGGATGCATTTATAATTTTTTTAAAAACGCCGACCTAGAAAGCGCGTCACAAGTTTAGCGCATGCGTTTTTCAAATGTTAAAGACCTCCTGAATTCATAATAACTTTTTTGTATTTGAAACGAGTTCACTTTATATTCTTGACATCAAAATGAATGAAAATAATTTTTGCTAAGATGTAGCGAGTAGGATTTATTTTTATTAGTTTATTATTTATCTTTTATTATTCTCTATTCAATTATTGAGTAAGATTTTCTCTTAATTTTTTTACCTAGTTAAAATAAATATAAGTCATTTACATAATTATATTTATTTACATATATTATATTTCATTTATTT